GGAGTCTAGACAGGGGCAGGAAGCAGGAGGAAGAGGAGGCGGCGGGAGGAGGAGGATGTGAGAAGCTGGACTGCAGCCCTCCCGCCCCTAGATACCGCCTCGGGCTGCCTAAGCGATCGCCGGCCGCGCTGCCGCTCCCAGGCGTGGACAGCACTAAAAGCCCTGACCCCCCGGGCACCATGAGGAAAGCGACCAATAACCACGTTCTTGGGAGCTACAACGTGGAATCCAGGGTCTATTCGGCTACCAACAGCCTTCCCCTGGGTGTAACCTCCTCCCTTAGACTCAACCACTCCAATCATACGGGTTCAAATCATACCTACCTGAAAAACACCTACAAGAAGAGTCTCTCCGAGCCCGAGGAGGAGCTTCTGCAGCAGTTCAAACGAGAGGAGGTATCCACCACCGGAGGCTTCAGTGCACATTACCTGTCCATGTTCCTCTTAACTGCTGCATGCTTGTTCTTTCTGATACTGGGATTCACGTACCTGAGAATGAGAGGTTCTGGAGTAGCTGAGGATGTAGAAGTCAACAGTAAGTATTAGGTCAAGGGTAAGAGCAGTTTCTTTCTGTACCTGGATGTATTGCTGCTAATTCTGCTTTGTGCTCCCAAACAAACCTTACTGAGCAGTTTTGAGTCCCACTTTGGTATAATCTGCCTATGTAGGGCAGAGCACAGAGAAACCGACTGGCATTCCTTATGTGGAATGATAAGATTGCAAGACAGTTAAGGGTAAAGCCAGACTGCTGGCTGTTCCCTGTTGTAATATGTTGACACCATGATTTCTTGCATGTTTTCCTCCTAAGCAGTTTCTTGTGTTCTGTGCAATAGAGCAGATGTGGGTTCAATGAGGAATCAAGGAGGTGAAGCTTTGTACTAATCTCACGCTAGTAGTCATGCACATGGACTGTCTGGGCGTCCTGCAGGGCTAAGACCTGACTGTAGCCGTGCAGTAGTTAAGCAGGTTATTTTCGTTTGTGTGCACTGAGTCTTAAGAAGAATGCTAGGCTTAGATGATGTTACACGTTAAAACATAAACTTTCTGCAGTGAGTGATGGAACTGTCATGTATTGTTTTCTAATCCATGCTCTTTCTTTAAATTTAGATGAGAATATGATTGCATATGAAGAACTGTAATGCTTTAGGCTGAATTTCAGGGCATTTTTTTTTTATTTTAGTTTTGACTTTGTGGCACTTGAATACATGGAAGCAGCTTCTTAGAATGACTTCAGAAACTACCCTTTTCTATTCTCAAAACATGCAAAAATGGAAATGTACCACCTAAGGATGGTGACTCATGCTAAATCAATTTTTGGCTCCTCTGAAATGGACAGTGGAGTTTGTAATATCAGAAAGAAAAAGCATATTGTTACTCTATTAATGTCTTATCAGCAACCATTAAAGGGAACGAAGAGCTAGCTCTGAGATGGGAGAGTATTAGATGGCCATTGGAGACTTGTATTGTTTTTTGAAATGATAATTAAGCAAGGTCTATGGGTGTATGCGTGTGCATAGGAGTTTCTTTCAATAGGTAGTGGGGTATGTATATGCCCCATGCACAAGCTTATGGTGTCTTGCATGAAGTGGTCCAACTCACTGGTCTTTTTAGTGCTGCTGTGTTGTTAGAGAGCTTGACTGGGAACTTCTGGGACTGTCAACTCTGTGACTAGGTGGTTCAGGGCCATCCACAAATATTGGTATTTCTTTCCCCTTTTGAACTTTATTTGTAAGATTATAATAGCCAAATATATATATAGCAGGTCTTAACTTTGTTTTGCCCCCTTTTGTGGGAAAGGGCAGGGTTTATTGTTTAGGATACAGTATCAGCAAGACCTTAGTGTTTGGCACTGTTTCACTGCTGTCCACATAACTTTTAATAAATCATCTTTTACAGAGCATATTGAACCAATGTACTGAGTATATTGCTCTTGAAAAGTTAACTCAGTGGACCTGATGCATAAGGAAAATTGTTTCCTTCTGCCCCTTTGCCTAGGTCAGGCTGCCCAGCCAAACACCTTGTTGTCCTGCATAACTTGGTAGTTCCATTAAGCGAGTTCATGGCCTTCTGCTGTTTGTGGCCTTCTCCTACTCATGCTCATTTCAGCTGGACTCTTGAAAATGGAGTTCTGAAGAATCATTTGGACAGTGACACTCACTTTTTAGCTGCCCGCTTTCCTACCAGCCTTGCATGTAGGCACATAACAAGCAAGAACAAGAGAATAGAGCGCACTGGAAGAAGGAAATGGCAATTATTGTGGCCAGCTCCTGTGAGTGACAGCAGTAGCTACAGGACTTCTTTTTTTTTTTTTTTTTCCTCTCTCTTCATAGTACAATAATACAGAGTTTACCTGGCACGTGTGTGTGTGTATATATATATAAATCTGGTACGTCCATTGCCTAGGCAATAAGAGCTAAGATAGGCCATAGAATGGTTACTACAAGTAGTTTGGGAGGAATCCCATCTTCTATTAGATGCTTACTCAAGTTTAGTTAAACATCCTTTCAGTGAGTCCTTTGGCTCTTTCACTTCTGTGGGTGTATTGTCTGTTTTTGTCTTAAAACCAGAAGTGATTCCTACATTTTTATTAAAAAATAATAATGTAGCAGAAGAAACTGCCTTTCAGTTAGGTAGTTGAATAATGTTTTCCCCCCACCTTTGCCTTTTCAGGGCTGTAAGTGGGATGCAGTTGGTTGAGGGTGAATGCTAAGTTTGATTATGAAAAACTCAGTTATGCCCATGTTAAAACTGTTATCTTAAAAGACTTGGGTATTCAGTGGAGTTGGGAGTATATGTACCCCCTAAATACTATGACAAAAGAACCTTGTTTTTATGTTTGGGGTGCTTCCCATTTTTCTTTTTCAGGGAGTGATACATGGTGATTATAGCATTCGTTGTTCTAAGTGGTTTCATTTCATTTTAGGAAATGAACAAAATAAGGTATTTTGAATTTAACACACTGATTAATCACCAAGTATACCCAATTTTAGCTCTCTGTTTTAGGAGACATTTTTGAAAGCAGGTTCTCTAGCTAGGAACCTTGATGTTTCCATGAAACTCGTTACAAAACAACTGCTAGAAAGATAATCCTTATTTGATCTGCTGCAATTTGTTTTGAAATGTTAATTTAGGGAAACTTTTAGTAATTATTTATATTGCAAGTGGAAGCTTGTGCTTAGTATGCAAAGAACGATTTTAAGAGTTTAATTCTATTCCATAGATGTTACTTTCTTTTAGTTTAATCTCTCAGACCTTAACACTTCTGTGTATAACTTCTGTTACACAGATAACTTCATAACTTCCTTAAGCTAAGGAGTTAGACTTGCTGTACAGAAGGCAATAGAAGGCCTTGTTAATGTTCCTCTAATCGCAACCCACAAATTACTATTTAAGTGGTGTGGTATTTCACAGATAACTGTTAAAACTCTGCCTGCTGTCTATTACCGTCCTCTTTAGGAGAGTCTTTCTTCTTGACAGCACTGGCTTCAAGCAGGGAGAACAAATTTTGGGTAAGAAATGCTTATAGAAGATGAAATAGTAAATAAAATAATAATAATAAAAAAATGCAGAATTAAAGGTTTGGAGAGCTCTTGTGTTGACTATTAATATTGCCTGTACTTTGCACATAGCACTCTGACTTACCTTTGACAATGTAACAACTTCTATTGGCAAACTAACAGGTAGCTCTGTTTCACTTTCTGTATATTGCTTTAAAATCTAGTCAGAATTACTTCTTTTACAGTGATTTAAAAGAAAAACTTAGACTGTAGCTGGCTGAAGTAAGCAGACTTCTGTGGTTCGGAGCTTTTTTGTTATGTACATTAAGAGGAGGAAAAAAAAAGTAAAATTTAAAATAGCTCGTATTCCCTGAGAATTTTAGTAGCAGTAATTGTTGTTCTTAATTATTTTTGTTTGTTTGTTTTTTTACTGCTTCATTTTGAAGCTTTCGTATAGGCAAAGCAAAGCTGAGTGTGGTACTAAATAGAAGCCAGACATAAATGTGAATTCTTTGATGTTGAGCTTAATTTAACATATTGAGATATACTTTAAAGTAGCTAATAGTTTAAAGTAATAGTTATATTGATCATACTTGAATACCTCAGAAAAACCAAGCTTTGTTGAAATGCGTGCATTGAGTAAGAACTGAAGGTAGTTATTTTTAAGTAGATGAATGTACAAAGATGTAGCAAAGTATAGTGGGTATGGCAAAATGAACTGACAGCTAGAATTTATATGTTTTAATAAAACAGCTGATCAAAAACTAATTGTCTGATAATTGCGAGTAGGTCTAAAATTGAGGGAGAAGGTTAAAAAAAAAACAAAAAAAACCTATATAACTATAATAAATTATGGCCTGGTATGATCCAGCCTGTGATTAAAGTAGCCTTGACTGCTTTTATGGGATTATAGTTTAGAAAAACTTGGAAAAGGGTCAGTATGCTGATGGAGGAAACATCCTGGTGTATGCAAGGATAGATGGAAGACAACTGTGCAGTTTGGAAGTTCTTGAATGACTGTGGTGACATGAAGGCTTTACAATGATGTCAGTGTGCTGTCTGTTCTTGAAAAATGGAGAGCTACAAAACAAATGATGTTTTGACTGGCCACTGTGCATCTAAGGTCTCCTTGCACAGTTGACTTCAGATAAAACACTCTTTTAATGTTCTTCTGGTACTTCTGCAGTTTTTCTCTCTCTCTGTAGAAGTTTGCCCATTCAGTAAGGTTCTCAGCCCAACTGGAAGATGTGAAGACAAAAGGAGGTAATAGAGCTGGAAGCTTAAGTTGGGTATCTGTAGCTGACTGGATCATAGTCTGCTGTGGAGGCTGAGAGGATAAGGAGCAAATGGATATTCTCTGAATATGAAGCAGGAAAACTGAGGTTGACTTGGAGGTGTAGTTTTTTGGGGGGAGATGTGCTGCTGCTGTTTTTGCAGAGGAAAGAATCAAATTTTCTGCTTGCTCAGGATCATGTTGTGATGGAGGTATCTTGAATAGAGCTGCCTTTCTGGAGTCTTAGTTCCTTAATTCGTCTTTCAAATGTACTCCTAGTGACAAACCGTGGTTATCAGAAGGATGTATGAGGTGGGGATGGAAAGAGGCAGAGGTTAAAAACTTATTTAAATTAAATGCTAGTACTAGCAAAGCATCCTCTGGGATCCATTGAATGTTAGTGATGCCATACTAAATAATTAAAGAAATGGGATAATTCCTAAATTAAAAGATGAAAAGCCGGTTATTCCTTTTAAAAATAGAGAATTTGTTCAATTCATTTCATCATTTATTTCAGGGGAAAAAAAAAAAGGCTACTTATGATAGCATAATTGTTTTTATGTACATACTCGGACTTCATACCACCATATGAACGTATGAACCCTCAACCTTTTTCCTTTTGTTTTTTTTTCTCTATTTAAAACAATGCTGGAAAATTATAGTCTCTTGGCTTGAGAGCACTTTGGGTAAATGCAGCAATTGGTGTACCCTCCTTGAGCAGTGAACTTAAAGACTCTATCACAAGAGGACTGCTGAGATATGCTA